GCCAGCGCCCGCCTGCTCGGGCTCAGAGGCCCCCGACGCTCGTCCCGCAGGGTGGCTGGATCCAGCGAATGAAGCCGGTCCAGCGCCCCGGGCCAGGAACAGGTGTGCGCCACTCGGGGCCGGACTGGTAGAAAGGAGCCGGGCAAAGCTGAGGGAGCAGAGGGCGAAGGCAGGTGCCGGGCGCGGCGCCAGAACTGGACCTCCGGGGGCAGGCGCAAAAGGCCTGTAAACGGGGACTGGAGCCAGGAAAGGGGGGGCTGGAAATCCCAGCCCGAGGAGAGCAGCCGTTGGGTTTCGGGTTGTACCGTTAGTGTGGGACTTGGGAGGGGATTCCAGGGCAGAGTCCCGAGAGCCCAGGCCTGGCAGGACGGGTGACCTGGGAGAGGCGGTGGGGGAGAGCCCAAGGATGGAGCCCACGGAGCAGCAGCACCGAGGAGCTGGACTGAGCAGACCTGGGAGCTCCGGACGGTTCCAGCAGGGGCTGCGGTTGGTTTCTGGGAGGCTGAAGGGGGGGGGCAGCAAGAGGGGTGAGCTGGCCGGTGTCTAAGCTGGGACAGGGGGCTGAAGCCTAGGGCCGGAGAAGGCTGAAGGCAGGGGGCAGTGAGTGGAGGAACTTACCTGTTGACGTCTCCCCGCTGCGGAGCTGGGCCTAGGGGAAGAGGGAGAGGGCCGGAGGAGCAAGGGATGCTCCCCAGAAGAGAGGCTGGGGGTCCCAGGTTGTGCTCCCGCTGGAAGGGCTGGGGTGGCTGCCCGGCAGGACAGGAGAGGACCAAGCCAGGTGCGGCAGACGGCACAGTAGGGAGACCCGGGGATTTGGAGGACTCCGTGCACCGGAGGTGACCAATGGACGGTGGATTGGCACTGTGCCTCGGGGCTACTTGTGCAATGGTTGTGGAATAAACCAGCCTGGCAGGGGTATTACTGAGGCAACAGGATCTGGAGGAGAGTTCCTGGGTGTCGGAAGGAGGGAAACTGAGGCAGGCGGGCCTGTTGTGCCCCCAGAGAGCGCTCTCGCTTGTGACAACACCCCAGGCCAGCTAAACCCTGCTCAGTTCCCACAGCTGCACTGTGGTCACGTGTCCGCAGGCAGAGCAGCACGGCCAGGCCAGGGAGTTCTGGGAAGGCAGTGGAGGGCAGTCAGCACTCGGAGACTTGGCCGTGTCCTCGGTGCAAAGGGCACCAGCCTGGGAGAAGCCTCCTTTGGAGTTCAGCCCCTCAAGGGGCCTTGGGAGGGGAGGCGGTGGTGTCTGTGTTTGGATGGAAGAGCTTTGGGGACAGCCCAGATGGGCCCCCAGAGCCCCGCCCAGCCCAGCCCGGCCCCGCCCAGCCCCGCAGGCCTCACCGGGTGATGAGCACCGCGGTGTCGTGGTTGGCGATGCCGTTCTCGGGGATGGCGTTCCCATTGCCGTTCCGGTTCACGATGGATTTTTGCCACTTGCAGAAGCTGTCCAGCGACTTCCCGGCATGGTGGTTAATCTCCAGGGTGGGCTGGAAGAGAAGCCACAGGAGGGCGTGGGAGGGCCGCGGAAGGCGAAGGGGGTCAAGTCCAGCTCTGCTGCCCTCTCCCAGGGTACGTCTACACTACAGCGCTAATTCGAACTAACTTAGTTCGAATTAGTTAATTCGAACTAAGCTAATTCGAACTAACGCGTCTAGAACTAAAAACTAGTTCGAATTAGCATTTTGCTAATTCGAACTAGCATGTCCACATTAAGTGGACCCTGAACCGGGCTTAAGGATGGCCGGAAGCAGTGCCGGCAGGGCAT